CAATCCCACCCTAATCCTCTTTAACATAAAATTACAATCACAAAATGGAGGACAACCACACAATACTGGGAATCGTGGCTTAGCCAAATTGATTCACACATTTTTGGGGGGACATAACTCAATCCATAACAGACATCAATTTACTTTTCTAAAGTCACACAACTATTGAGTAATAGAGGTGGACCCAGGCTTTTTACTGCTATACTCTGCTCCCTTCTGATGTTATAAATATGATTACAGTCAACCTAAAGACATTTTATATTGTACACTGAAACCTGTGAGAAGCGGAACTCAATTGGACTGCCTTGTTTTTCTAGATCTCGTAAGTTTTCCACTATTAAAAGGCTGCAGTCTTGCACTTTTCTATCAGTCATTTTAGTGGAAAATATTTGAGTTTTCCTTCTCTGACCCACAGCTGTTCTGTCAGTTTGTCATACTGTGGTGTCTTGTATGTTGCTGTGATGCTGTAAGCTATGCCAACGGTATTTCAAATACTAGCAGGGTCAACCATGGTAGGCGGGTTTCAGCAGAGCCTCTAGACTAAGACAGACTAGTAAGAAGGACCTGGCAACCTACTTCTAAAAAATTAGCCAGTGAAATCCTTATGAATAGCAGCAGAACATTGTCCAATATAGTGCTGGAAGATGAAGTCCTCAGATTGGAAGGTGTTCAAAACATGACTGGGGAAGAGCTGCCTCCTCAAAGTAGAGTTTTCTCACTATGCAAAGGCATTACTCACTATGCAAAGGCATTCCACTGTGTGGATCATATAACAAATTATGGATAACATTGCAAAGAATGGGAATTCCAGAACACTTAATTGTGCTCATGAGGAACCTGTACAGAGATCAAGAGGCAGTTGTTCGAACAGAACACGGAGATATGCAGGGTTTAAAATCAGGAGAGGTGTGCATCAGGGTTGTATCCCAACACCATACTTAATGAAACTGTATACTGAGCAAATAGTCTGAGAAACTGGACTATATGAAGAAGAATGAACCATAAGGATTGGAGGAAGACTCATCAGCAATCTGCAATATGCAGATGACACAACCTTGCTTGCTGAAAGTGAAGAGAACTTGAAGCACTTACTAATCAAGATCAAAGACCACAGCCTTCAGTATAGATTATACCTCAACATAAAGAAAACAAAAATCCTCATAACAGGACCGAGAAACAACAACATGAAAAATGGAGAAAAGATAGATTTTGTCAAGGATTTCATTTCACTTGTATCCACAATCAACACTCATAGAAACAGTAGTCAAAAAATCAAACAATGTATTGCATTGTGCAAATCTATTGCAAAAGACCTCTTTAAAGTGTTAAAAAGCAAAGATGTCACTTTGAGGACTAAGGTGTGCCTGACCTAAGCCATGGTATTTTCAGTGGCTTCATATGCATGCGTAAGCTAGACAATGAATAAGAAAGACAAAAGAAGAATTGACACCTTTGAATTATGGTGCTGGTGAAGAATATTGACTATTCCATGGACTGCGAAAAAACCAAACAAATCCATCTTGGAAGAAGTACAACCAGAATGCTCCTTAGAAGGGATGATAACTTTGAACATGTTAACAGGAGGGACCGGTCATGCTTGGTAAAGTAGAGGGTCATCGAAAAAGAGGAAGACCCTCAGCAAGACGGATTGATACAGTGGCAGCAGCAATGGGCTCAAACATAGCAGTGATTTTGAGGATGGCGCAGGACCAGGCAGTGTTTTGTTCCATTGTATATAGGATCGCCATGAGTCAGAACCGACTCGACAACACCTTAGAACAACAACCTTCTCTGAGCCTTACACAGGTTCTGACTTTCGCAGGTTTTATTGTAAACTGCCCGTTTAACTTTCTCTCATATACATTTATAGTTCTGAAATATCAGGGGGAAAAGCCTTCAAGTATCACTAAGTTGAATGGCCTCTGAGGTCCAGTACAATTGGACTGTTACCAGAGTCACAATCAGTTTAAATTCCCGTAGCCACCTCTGAACCACCGCTTTCTAAAAAAATGTCTACACCAGTTTCCCTATTAAATCCATTATTTAAACATTCTCACTTTTCTTCATGTGCTGTTCCACTCCACTGAACTGCTTCTGTGGGGATTACAGGCGCTGTATTATTGTGACTGAAACCTAATTGACTTCCACGGTAAATATTAAAGGAAGGTGGCAAGCATGACTAGTTGTCCGTTCAATATGACATGAAATGGCTAACACTTGTGTGTAATGAGGGAAAACTCTTCTGAGCTTCAACTCTTGTTTTATGGGGAAGAGGAGGTGAATCCTCAAGTAATTGTTGACAAGTCTGTGCCAAATGTGTGCACCAAGTGAGAAGTCGAAATAAAAAGCCTGGTACGAAGTCGTTAAACATCAATGGTGGTGAATTATTCATTTAATGGCTTCAAAGTTGGACTTGGAAAAATGTAAAGAAAACACACAGAGAACTTTCTCTTTTCTGGAAATGATTTTTATAGTTATGAACTAAATGCAAGCAGCACTTAAAGTGTCTAACTGCATTGTATATTTTACGTAAATTTTAGAATATTGAACAAATTCCCCATTTGGTACAAAAGAGGGAAAGAAAATATACCTCTCCTGATGATCAATGTCTCTGAGAAAATGAATTATCTTTATTTTCTCCATTATCTTTTATTGCCATTTTATATACTCTATAAAATATCGACCTGCAAAGTATTCAAATGAAATGTGATGTAATTTGTTTGATTCATGAGTCTTTTTT